ACAAATCCAACAAATCAAAAACCATGAAAATTGGTCCAGCAGATCTCGAGTTATAAGTGCTGGAAAACTTTTCACAACTCTCTTTTATATATATAGATTTGCATCTATTTAGTATTATTTTCTATTTTCATCTATTTTTTAGTATTATTTATGAGATATTTGTGTAATTCATTAGTAAAGTTCAATATTAATTTCTTTCTGATTTACATTAGCTTGTTAGTATTTTTCAGTATTATTGTCGAGATATCTTTGTAATACTTAAGAGAGTTTAATTTCAATTTACTTCTGATTTACATCAACTATTTAGTTTTTTTTTTAGTATTATTTACGAGATAACTTTGTAATTCTTAGAGAGAGAGAGTTTAATTCAAAAGAGTTTAATTCAGTTTAATTTCAATTTACTTCTGATTTACATCTGCTATTTAATATTTTTTTAGTATTATTAAGTATTATTTGTAATTCATTAGGAGAGTTTTTTTAAATGAAGAACTAGATTAAATTGCCTTTATGGTAGCAGTAAGCTCGTTAACAAAATATAAAAATTTTTATAAAAAAAATAGGAGAGTTTAATAATTTATTCTCTAGATAGATTTCTGTTTTACTGTACTCTAAATATGCTGAATAATTTTTAAAGTCAACCGAGTCCCACACAACGACGACGACGACGACTTCTCTCAGCTGTTTCGATTAATTAGCATCCGTAATTGATGTGCACAAAAGTTTGTAGCAACGAGTTTGCGTTTGGTTTTTGTGGGGCGACGAGTTGTATGCTTGGTCCTTTTTGGAATGGACGTGGCCTGGATGCCGGTCCAGCTTCAGCTTCAGCTTGAGGCTTCAGGCTTGGGCCGCTGTCCCGTATCCGCATTCATTGAACGTGCGGACTGTCTGACGAGCGACGTGACTTTGCTGCGAATTACTTTTGCTTTGATTTAATGTAATTACAAAAAAAAATAAATAAATGAAAATAAAAGTTTCTAATAAAATGCAAAACATGAAAAATAAAAGCAAACAAAGTGACGTCTAGTGTCACAGGGATTTGCCCCAGCTTCAGTTGGCCAACATTTTCGAAACTTTTCTTTAATCAGAGTTTAATTTTCCATTTCATTCCATTTGCAGACAATCACTGCAACTGCACGAAATGACCCATGCCAAGGTGAAGCGTCAATTCCATTGCCCTCGCAAGGACTGTTCCTATTCGGGTCTCACGCACGAGGGCCTGAAAACCCACATGAAATCCCACTCCCAGGGCCAACACAAATGCCAGCACGAGAACTGCAGATATGTGGGCAAGAGTGAGCTGCACTTGAAGCGGTAAGTGAGATAGTTATTATATCTTTTGAGAAATGCCTTATTGTTGCCAATTATGATTAAGCAAATTCGATAATCAACTGATAAAGCAAATAAAGTCGAGTTCAATTTCCATTGGAAATCGTTATTCGATGGGGCGAGGTCGAGGCTAGCTGCGGATGTCATGTTGCGGCGCTATTACAAATCTACAAAATGCTAATCAGGATTTGGCAATGGAGTCGAACACAGACAATTGCCAAGTCGCACAAAATAAACGAGCGACTTTTTCTACACGAATTTAAATTTCTATAAACAAAACAAAAAGCAAACGAACAAGCAAATGGAAATGGTAATAAAAAGAAGCAACAAGAGCAAAAATGTCATCCATAATTGCAGACTTTGAACTGCAATTGCATAAATTGATGAAAGCAACAACAACAACAACAACAACAACAACAATAGCAATAGCAACAAAAGCCAACAAGAAGCTGTTGAGCTGGTCAACGAGCAGCTGCTCGAGGAGTCGCAGAAGGTGCAGAAGGCGGCCGAGAGTCAACCGAGTCGTACCACAAAATCGTGACTTATCGATCGCCTTTGATATGCGCATTGAATTCTTGTAATATTTCCAAGGCTCTCCAATGACCATTTGAGTATGAAGCGGCAGCAGCAGCCGCAGCTGTACCCACCTCCAACTCCAACTCCAGCTTCAACCTCAACCGCAACTCCCTCTTTCACTCCTCGGTGCATCGACAGCATCGATCTGCATTCAAGCAGTCAGCGGAGTCTGAGCCAATTGCTGGCATTGCCACTGCCACTGCCACCGTTGCTTGCCACTGTGCAGCTGTCCGCCCCAAACACACACACATACACACACAGTCGCTAACACATTCAACTCTTTTTTTCGTCTTAAGCTTGGAGCCTTTGCGAACGCATCGCTGCGATCGCTTTTTGATGGCGGCCACAACTTTGGCATCTTTTGTTCATATGGCACTGAATTTGAATATTTTATATTGAAAAGACTTCGGTGAATTGCCCATTGGCAAATTCTACACTATTTGCATTGCTTGGCTAACAACATTCTGATTCCCGTAGAAGTAGAAGTAGACGTAGTAGAAGTAGAAGTAGAAGTAGAAGTAGAAGTAGAA